GGTGGAGGGCTCTGCACTCCACTCTCTTGGCTATTCCTCAAGGGAGGGCTGGAGGATGGAGTATTCACGGGGAAGCTCTTGTGTGAATGGTTTCCAACTTTTCTTTCCTGAGTCTGGCACCTGAGTCTCCTCAGTGACTTTCTTGATGCAGACAGCTCATGGTAGCAGAAGCTAAGGGGGCGACGTTGCCTCTCTGGCCTGGTCTTTGCCTGTCATTAGGGATCACGCGGATCCTGGCTGGAGGCCTGACTCGGTCTCCTGCGCCCCAGCAACCTGCGGATAGCGGCTGTGATCTCGCGGTTTCGCAGGCTGTAGATGAGCGGGTAGAGCAGCGGCGTGACGTTGGTGTAGACCAGGGCCAGAGTGCGATCCAGCCGTGGCGAGTAGCGAGCCTTGGGCCGCACATACATGAAGGTGGCGCAGCCGTAGTGCAGGAAGGTGACCGCCAGGTGCGAGGCGCAGGTGGAGGCGGCCTTGCGCCGGCCCCCGCTGCAGCGCAGGCGGCGCAGGGCTGTGGCGATGGCCCCATAGGAGGCCAGGATAAGTATGGAGGGCAGCAGCAGCAGCACTATGCACGCGCCCAGCAGCGGCAGCTCGTCGACGTAGCTCCGTGTGCAGGCCAGGTGCAGCAGTGCAGTGATGTCGCAGAAGAAATGCACCAGCAGGCGAGAGCCGCAGAAGGGCAGGTGGAAAATGGCCACCGTGAGCCCCACGGACACGGCCAGTCCACCGAGGCAGCAGGCCAGGGCCAGTCGCGCGCACAGGCCAGGCGTCACCATGGTGGCATAGCGCAGCGGGTGGCAGATGGCCACGTAGCGGTCATAGGCCATGGCCGCCAGCAGGAAGCACTCGGCCCCTCCCAGCCCCACGAACATCTGCATCTGGACCGCACAGCCCAGGAAGGAGATGGGGCTGCCCCTGCTGTGGCCGGACAGGGTCAGGTCGGCCAGCGAGCGGGGCACTACCACCAGCGTGTAGCAGAGCTCGATGGCCGACAGCTGGCACAGGAAGAGCAACATGGGTGGCCGGCTGGGCACCGAGACCACGGCCACCAAGATGAGCAGGTTTCCACTCAGTGTGGCCAGGTGCACGGCCAGCAGCAACAGGAAGAGCACAGGCCTCAGGTGCGGGAACTCAGAGAAGCCTTGAAGGAGGAAGCCGCAGGGTGTGGTGGCATTGCTGAGGCTGGCCATGCACCTGATGCCTAGAAGCACCTGGCGAGAGAACCTGGAAAAGAGTGAGCTCGTGGGGTTGTAGCCCCTCTGTTCCTGCTGGTGACAAAGAGTCAAGTGGAAGTTAGAGGAAGGAGTGATGGCTGCAGAGAGGAGGCAGGGGTCCATGTGCCCATCCCAGCACTGTTTGAGGGAACTTACTGGCTCGTTCGGAAGAATGGTGCTCTTTATCCTGCCTCCAGGATCAGAATCTCCAAAGCTTCTTTCTCAACATGCACTTTCAAAGAAGCATTGATTTCAACCCCTTTCCTTGCAAGGCATCACTCCTGACCTCCCCTGAAAAAGTGCGCGTGTGCTGTGGTTATTACTCGGTGGGTCCTGTATGGTGATGTTAGGTCCATGTCCTCCTGAGTCCCACAGGGCAGGAAAGGAACCTTTAGTGCCTGCTCCTGCTTCCTCCTCCCCACCCTACTCTGCCATGCTGGAGATGCCTTCTAGGGAGTGCCTTAGAATCACAAAAATCACAATGCAGATGAGGACGGCCTTAGAGATCGCCTCATACAACTTGGTAACTTTAGGGAGGAAAATAAAGCTGGGGTGGGGGTGCAGGGTGTTGAAGAGCTTAACTGCTCACTGAAAGTTAGAAAGAGAATCTGCATTCTGAGGTTGAATCCACAGCCTTCCATGACCGACATAAGGTTCTGAGTAAACGTCACAAGTCAAGACAATCCCTACTTACTTGACTTTAAATAGAGACCCAGATCTGTACCAGGCACCCAGGAAGACTCTTCCACGGCAGAGGATGCTTGGGAGGAGAGCCTCTCAGGGCATATCAGGAACAATACGTCCCTGACATTTTTGTGAATATCCTGTCAACAGAAGAAAAGGTGATGCGTGTCTGTTCTAACTTGCCTTTCAGAGTTAGCAGACCATTCCAAATTTGCCATGAGGACACAGTTTCTTTCTAAGCATCATCCAGTGACTCATCAGCAGGCAATGTTTGGACGACACTGGCAGCATGGAGGTGACAGTCTGGAGAGCTGCTGCACTGATCCTAACTCTCTGGAACAGAGCAGACCTGAGGCAATGAGAGATTTGATGCCACGCGGACTAGCGGAGGGTGTTAGAATTCCCCAACAGACACTAATGCTATATCACTTTTCATTTCCTTATCTCTTTTGAATTAATTTAAATTGTAAGCTCAGTTACTATTCTTCCTATAATCATTGTTTATAATCAATGTGGGAAGTTGAATTTGCCCATAGTTGTTAGACCACAGGACACCATAGGAAGAAAGCTGGGTCAAAGAGCAACAGGTAAATCAGATGAAAGATCAGACAGAATTGCAAAGAGCTTCTAATCTAATCTAATCTTCCTCTTATTTTAAAAAAAAAGTTTGTTTACTTCTTCTATGAGTCAGAGAGACAGAAAGAAACAGAGAGCTAAAGAGACAGCACTGCCAACAGGACTTGACACTGCCATTCACCTCCAGCCTCAGCCAGCCCCAGGTCATAGGCACGGCATGCTCAGGGAGGTTTCTGGATGCAAACTTGGAGCCCTCCTATATGGGTTGGTCTCACAGAGCACCAGGTTTTGCCACTGCCCTTCTAATGTTCCTTATTTTTTTTTTTTTTTTTTTTTTTTTTTTTTTTTTTTGAGAGGTTTTTGCTATAGGGCACGTGCGCTTGCCAGAAAGACAGAGAGAGACAGAGAGAGACAAAGAGACAGAAAGCGAGAAATCACCCCTCAGGGAGGAGGGCCACACCGCAATCCCTTTTCCTCCTTTCTCCTCTTGGGATCTTAGGCACACATGCACACGTACCCGCTGTCAGTTTAAGTCACCGGGTCCAGGACTCAAATTGCAGTCGGCTACATGAGAGTCCAGCGATATAGTCATTATACCAACTGCTAGTCCCCTAATGTTTCTTTTTGAAAGGAGAATTCTAAGAGTTTCTGTCCACCAGTGTCAACCTGTGTCCTTTCTTGTCACATCTGAGGAGGGCTCTTTCCAATAGATATTTTCAGTCATCTTGTGGAGGAAGAAGAGGGTGCGGTTTCATGTGGGTCTGAGAGAGTTGAAATAATTTCCCATCTGTTCAAGAACCCTCACTTTTTTTTGGTTTGTTTGTTTCTGTCATCCTTCAGTCTGTTGAGCAAACAACAAAACTGTGTTGAGTGACTCTGCAGGTGAGGTGTGAACGAGTGTGATGCTTGGCTGTCTTGGGGGTTTGGGGCAGGATAAACTGCTGAGGTGCCAGCACCACAGCTCTCTTGGCTCAGCCTCTGCTCGTCTTTACTTGTTCCTTTCCATCTCCTTAGAAAAGCCTGGGGGGGGGGGGGGCGTGCGCCAGGGGAAACAAG